GGATAAAATGCAAAAACTCCAAAGTTTAGCGTAGATAACTGGCCATTTCCCGCCCCTAGGACCTTTGGATAAGGGATTCTCCCTAAGACCCTTAACTTAATCACTAATAATTGATGATGAATGATTGCTTGAAATATGACCCATGCACTTGGCACCAGCTGGAGGTACCACTAAAGCCCCTTTTGATAGCAGGAAATAATATTCCTTGGGCCCTTCTATCTTGCCCTAGTAATGTTGATAACTTTATAAATCATGGGTATAATACCTGATTGTAATATCAAAAATGCTTTTGGAACCACTTGGTGGCACCACAACAACTTATTACTGATAGTGGTAATTTACAGTCTTAAAGATTCATTAAGTTGTCCCTGTAATAATGTTCGAAACATACTTCAACCTAGTTTATACTTGTGCCATATTTCTGTTTACAATCGTTATATATTAATCAAATTTCAGGTTAGCTTATAAGCCCTGTCATAATCTTGAGGTCCCTGAAGGAGTTGAAAAGGGATTCTTCCTAAAGGAGTTAACCATTTCCTAGTGCTTGTTTGTTCAATTGGATAAAAATTATAAAGTAATTTATTTCTTATTTTTCGGTTTAAAAAAAGAAAAAAAATTGTTCAGGTGAGCCTTACTGCCTCTGAGTATCTGATTTATTATGTAATTAATTGTTGCATTAACTTTCTAATCATTAAACATTAATTATCTAAAATAACGCATTAAAAACAGTACTGCGTCTGAGTACTCTCAGTTCTTTGATGAATTTCCTTATTGGCTGCTAGCTTCTACGCGCTTAGTGGCTGCTGTTATTGGCTGCTAGCTTCAGCCTGGTGTAAACTATTGTTTTTATTTAAGAGTGGGTCATTGTACCATTTTTTTTAAAAATGGTGAGAGATGCATCCTTCCATACCCTTTCAATATTCGTTTACAAAAAAAATGGTAAAAGGACCCACTCTGCATAAAAAACATAATTTTATCATTCCATTTCTATCATTTTTACGGTTACTTAAGCGTGTTGCCATTTTGATGGGTTAATTGCAATCAATTTCTAAGTCATTTGATTAAGGTTTTATCTTTACTGTATGCATATGGTTATAAATAATTCCTAAATTTGACAAAAAGTGGAATTATTAAAAATTTTTTAAATTGATATTTTACCTTCCCTTGCGTAGGCATATGACTCGCCTTATCCCCCATATTCTTTCCACACACACTTTAAATGCAAAATACATGTGAAATGTATAAAGATATGTCAACAACGCTGCACATTATTCATAACCTTCATCAGCTTGAGTATATGTACTAAATTATTGCCATTTTTTTTCAAAACAATCTACCTCTTTTTATATGTTATGGTTTTATCTTTTCATTTAGTCTTTTTATGAATGTGAAAAATACTGATTGTCAAATAATTCAAATAATTTCACTACGCCTTCACTGAAACATCAGCGCACGTTCTAATGAATTTTATGCTCATAATTTTACTGATTCATAAATTCTTTTAGGCTTAGATTAAAATTGAATTAAATGGAGGAAAAGGTAATTTTGGAGGTAATTAATCTTATTTCCTCCATTAAAACTTTTTAAAGCAAAATTGAAAAAAAAGAGCTTCAATGAATAAAATAAATAAGAAAAAAGGTATCTATAACATAAATGAAAAATGTATACATTTCGTTAATGTTAAATACATTATTTTATTATTTATCATAAATAATTTATTTTTATATAGTCTTTTGTTAAAAACAAATCTCTTTCTCATCAGTGAGTAGAAACCTGTTAAGATAATATTTGTAAGAATGTGGAGAAAATATAATTGGGAATATACCTGCGGACAGTCAGAGAAGAAACTTAAAGTCCCCTTGAATTTCATTGGCAGGAGAACTGTTAAATTTAGAGGGTGAATTGAGGTTGTTAAATTATTGCAATTGTTTTATTATCAAACCGCTACAAAAAATAAAAACAATAATTTATCAAATTAGAGAAAAAAGACCATAATACTATGTAAATAATCATTTTAAAGAAATGAATTTTCGCTAATTCATATGACGAAATTTAATTATGTACTACCGGTATATGCGTAACAATACAATCTTGTGCACAAGGAATAAAACTCGGACTTGGAATTCTAGAGAACCTGTAAGATAAACTGTCTAGCAAGAGTAGGCTCCCCTGTTAACCGACCAAAACAGTTGTGAGGCTTACTTATTGACCAAGTAGACGATAAAATTCGTGGTCATGTTTAGTATAGAGAAAAAGCCTAATAATTGGTTTAAAAAGCACATCAAAAAGCCCAATGACAGCAACTTAGTGAGAAATGCTGACATTAAGCAAAGTTGTTAAAATTACTGTCATATCAACTCATTTGTCAGTAGTCTGTCCAGGTTTGTACTCATATCATATTTCTTGAGTATAATTGATACACGATACCAGGGGATAGCGGAATATTTCAACATACATAGTAGAACATGTAAATTTGAAACAGATGTGGCATACATACCCTGTGTGTTTTTATTTGAGTTTTCTTTGATATATAGATTCATCAAATGGATGTAAATGTCAATTGTTAACTACTTGACGTAGTGTATGTTGTTTTACGTTTTACCCATTTAGATACATCTCCATACACCGATGAAGGGCTTCATATTTAAAGCTTTACTCGGCACTCAGGGCCATAGAGCAGTGAGTATTTCTTTATCGTGCCAACGTCTACCTTAAAGCCCGAGATAATAAGCACCGCCCTCAGATTTACCTGGTCTGTATCCCCCTGTCAATCAAATACATTAAGGTCAATCATTGGGTACTTGAAATTGATTGACATTTAGCTTCTAGTCCCTGTGTATATCTCTTTCACCTTGTTTGACACGGTGGCCACCATCAAATTAACTTTCGGTCTTCTGATGTTTACCGCTAAATTACCATCGCAATGAGGAAGCCATTTCACCTTTTTCCAAGGGGAGATAATTTATTAATTATCTGTAGAAAAATTATGTCATTAAAAAATAATTTTATCTCTTTAAGAACCATTGTATTTCAATAAAATAAATCACGATTGTTTATATTTTTACTAATGAAAATTGCATAGGTGAATGGAATCTTGTTTTCACTCGTAAAAATTAAGAATGATTTTTGTTGTGATACGCGGCGAAAAATTACGATGAAACAAAAGGAGAAAATAAGCTGGTACACTGTAACACAATGGATAACTAAGGATGAAACAAAATATCTTATAAGTAACAACTTCGCTTGGACAAGCATTAAAGTATCAACAGTTTCTTTCTTTTCTTTTACTTTTTATTACCGAGCATTTCTTGCTTCAAAGGTCACAGGTGTTAAAAATACTTTTGAAAGAAATACATATGTTAGCAATAAATTCATATTTTGTTTTAAGTTGTTTAATTCTAATCTAAATTTACTTAAGATACACACATACTTGTATATAATTTTAACTTTACAAAACCAACGTTATCATCACGATTTTTTCACAATAGGATACAGAATGTACATTTGCTAAAAATAGGACCACGAGACTTTTTATACAAACGGCAAGTAACTGTTACTGTTTGATCATGATCGAAGCTCTGATTAATTGTTACTATATTTACGATAATAGATTATGAATAGTTTTAAGATTTTGATAGACAAGGATGAGTTTTTTTTTTTTTACAACGAACTCAAGTCGTCGATGCTGTATATGTGACGTACAACATACCGTAGATTTTTTTTTTTTTACAAAAGTCGGCCTGCGAGATTCCTGCTTGTAAATCTGAAATTACGAAATTTTTCAATTATCATTAATTATTATTGATATTTTTTTATTTACGATGTCAAATTCTACTAATTTTATGATGAACAGTAGGCCACCAAGCTGTACAGGTAATACTCATTGACTTCCTGTGTATACTGTTTGTGTATAGGGGTTAGCGCTTCCCACGGTCTGCACGACCATCAATGCCTCGGGGTAAAATTTAGTCCCTCCCCTTACCTGAGAAAACCGTACGGTTAAAAATCTCGGCCTTTAACAAGAGACCTCTGTTTTTAATTAAGGTCTCATCCGAAGGACCCACAACTTTCACTTCAAAGTGCCGAGCACTTTGTGAAGAAACAGTTGCTACCCATCTTTTATGGACTAAGCTGACTAAGCTGATTCGAACACACGGTCCTCCGATAACAGAGCAAGCTCTATACCATTGCCATTGTTATAACGTCGTCAATATATCTGAATGTCAAATACAAAGCTGCAGATATAGTGTTCGATTTCTCATGTATAACTTTTTGATGAATTCTGCTTTATCAGAATATAAAAACATTTAGGCTAAACGTTATATAGGAAATAAAAGGGATCACAACAATATACTCAAATGTTTTGTTTGTTATTATTTTTTTTTGCTGTAATGCATTTAAAAAAGAACTTTGCAAACATCAGTACAAGTCTAATTATTTCTAGATTTGTAGAAGAGAATGGTCATTGGTGTTAATCGTTTACATTAAATAAGGTATTTGTTTGACAAGAACATTCAACTGCATTATTTTCAAACAAAAGTATCAGTATATGTTATGTCCCTAGCATAATTAAATTTTAAAAGCTAATTATACGTAAATTTCATTTACTTTGTCTAATATTTCTCCATTTATTTTTCTAACGTTACAATTTGTTTAGGACTGTCACACGTTATGAGTCCATATCGATAAGTAAGCACAGGAGCGCAATAAAACACTATCACAGGATATCAATTATTTATCATTTAGAATTCTTAAATAAGAGAATGCATATGAAAGCGTTGGAACGTGTCTCCGTCGCTAGGAAAGGTTCAGTTTACGATACAGTTGACTGATGACAAAGAGGGTGTCAAGTTTATAATGAGTCTGCAACCATTAGATACAATTACCAATAATATAGCATCAGAATCCACCAAAGGTGTTTAGGAATGCGACTTTACTATCACTCACTGAAATAGAATGTCAGCCTCAAAGTCTATTTCTCCTAAAAATGAAATAGTAAATGATTCAGGTGACTTTGGAATAAGAGACCAATGCAACGAAGAGAGAAACCAAGATTCAGACTTTGAAGATGGGGATGAACATGGAAAAATACAAAGCAATGATAGCAATGAAACTAAAAACAGAACGACCCACGTACTGGATGAAATAGATTATCAAGAAGTCTTAGAGGAGCTGGAGAAAATGAGGAAAGAACTGGAAGAGGAAAACAAGCAAAGGGGAAGCTATATATACAGTGATTCTGATGAAGACGATGATGACATCGAAAATGATTCGATGAAAAATGAAGATGATAGAAACGACAGTGATTTTTATGATACTGATTTAGAAGACAGTCCACCTAAAACAGGTAAACAAAAAAAAGTTTAAAAACCATTTTTATTATCTATGGGTGAACCTTCGTATATTCACAAAAATTTGTAGATCGTATTTTGCTAATATGCATGTTAGAATTTTCAAAGTTTTGGTATCAGTGAAACATTTATGACTTTTTTTTATAAGACTGAATACTTTAATTTCAGACTGTATCTTGTTTAAAAGTTATCTCTCTAAAACTAAAAAAAAATCAAGATGTATAAAATATGCGAAATTAATATGTACATCTACAAGAAATAGGATTGGGGCTTTATAGCATTATTTCAGTCTTGCAATAAATTACTAGCAAAGATCTGATATTCCTTGTGATTTAAATTTGTTGACAAGTTGAAACAACCAATTCGCTATATAAATATATATTCAATATTAAAGCATTTGCATAAAAGTTTTTCTATTGGAGCTATATAAAGGGGTATTAAAAATCATCCACAAAATATCTTGAATATGAAATAATAGTGAAATGCATTGAAATAATATATGAATTATAATCTTTTATTGAAGTTCAAAGTAATTTATAAAGCAGGGTAAAGAATAAATCAATATTTACTGTTCTTTATTCTTATTTCTGCAATATGTCAGTTTTAAAATGTCAAAATGAAGTAAGAAAAAAAATGAAATAATACGTACACCAAAGGATCATATGTAAATGATTTATTCAGCTTATTAATAAAATTCTCATTATTAGTCATATTTAATTTCCAATAAATCAATTACCTTTTATTGTTACAAAGGTATTGTTTTTCTTTCAGTGTAAGGTTCACAAATAGCTTCAGCTTCTCTCTTCTTTGAACTATTCTTTGAAATAGACAGATCAAACTTATGTTCATATATTTTATGATACTTTTATCGCATGAATATTATCATTCCAAATGAAAAATATTTACTTACATATGCTGTGTTATAAACTCAGAGGTCAGCAAGATTAAGATACATGTTTATAATTGTAATATAATATTTTAAAATTTGAAATTATAATAATTAAACAATTCTTTACCATTGAAGCAGTTTTCAAAATTCAATATAGAAAATAGATGCAGTTTTGTAACATGAGCAAAAAAGCATGCATAAAAAATATTGGCTGACAATTTTTCAGATACATGCCAACTATCCTGAAAACAATATCTCTATTTACAGAGCAAATAGCTCAGTATGCCAATTGCTTAATTTTCCTCTATTAACATGAAATTTCACATTAATCAGGGGGAATATATTTCACTAATTTTAATAATAGATTCACCACAAACAGTGCTTCGTCAACAAACACTATTGATTTTGTTAACAGAAAATGACTTTGGTGAGAGCGATTACCTTATCTGCAGACAGAAGTACATTGAAGCCTGCTCTAAATTTGGAGATGTTCCCCCTCAGAAGAGGATCCTACAAGAACTAGAGAAGAAGACCCTGTCTATTGCCCATCGCTGCCTCAGTGCCAGAGATATTAAGCCTCTCTGTATAGCTTTAGTGGTATTGATAATCAAATTAATCTCGTTACACACTGAGAAATCAACTCCAGAATAATTGTTTTTACTTAAATATGAACATATTCATGTATAGAATAATGTATACATCAATGTAATGAGTTGAAAACCAATAATTATTTGAATTCGTTCTTGAACATTTTAAATATAGGCTGGAGTATTATTGTAGACCTTCACCACCTAACACTGGAGATTTTACAACTGTGACTTTCAATATAATATAAACAAATTCTTCAGTTTATTGGAGAAGAGGTATAAATTAAATCTGGTATAGAAATAATCTAAGGAACTGTTAGAAAATTTAAAATTGCAAAATTTCGCTAAAATCAATAACATCGAAAGTTCCGACTTTATGTACATGTATGAAAGTCCATGCCTTTTGACAAAATGGGCATCTGTTTTTGCAATTTAAATGAATCTAACTTTGTTATTTTTTATTTATTTGAACAACAATGTTGCTTTGAAAAAAGTATGATCGTACACAAACGTACATTGAAATGGATATTAAAAAAGATGCTTGAGTTTCTGATTAAGTCTATCTGTGTAGTTTTTGGAAATTTTTGGAATTCTCATTGCATTCCCTTTAAGCAGACCTGTTTTGAACTGATATAAAATAGTTTGCAAAATTTGAACATTTAGATGTATAAGTATCGGAACACATTATCAAAACAATTATAGATACTTCTGTTTTTACATCAAATCATGTGTCGACTAGATATAGCACTAAACAGATGAACTTCAGATAAAAGATACCACAGACATCTTTAGATATCTTACTACAAAAAGCAATCAATGCTAACCTAGCATTAAAACTTTATAGGTAAAATTTTGACCTCAACTTTCTTTCCATCAACTTCTCTTTTATTCCTGTAGCACTATATACTCTTATCACCTGTATATGGAGTTTACACGTCCCAGTTGATTCGATATGTAAGAACATATAAAAAGCAATTTCTAAATACGTCACAAGAAATTGATGAAACAAAAGTGGAAACCGTCTCCTTTAACTTAATTATAAAGTTTTATGGTCGAAACAATGACCTAAATTGTTAGAAAATACAATGCAACATTAAATGGAATACTGAAGGACTTTTTTCATAACTTTTGTTAGACTATTATGAAAACACTGAATATTAAGGTTTTGTGATTTGTTAAGAAAAAAAGAAAGACCTACATTTTTTTCTCTTTTAGGACAATCTCCGTGTACAGAATCTTAACCTTTCTCACTGTGATATAAGAGACGAAGGATGTATGTATGTCTCTCAGCTCCTCACTGATAATATTGTGATTACGAGACTGGTAAGTTATAGCTTTCTGTAAGACAAACACTTAAAAAATATATCAGGGAAGATGAATGTTGTTTTTTTAAAAATACTTTTAATCATGATAATCAGAAGTAAGTTACAATTATTATAAATATATACTAATTTTTCTATAATGCTGTAGATAAGGAAAAATGAACGTGTTTTTTTTTTTTTTTTTTTGCTATTTCAAGAACACAGTTGTATAAATTAATTTAATATTTGTAATAATATAATAATGAGCCAAAGTGTGTTATATAATGAGTTATTCAAAAATTTTCACATTATTTTTAGTTACTAGTTTTTCAGTTAAGCAGAAGCCATTTTCGAAAACAGGTTCTACGTCAAAAGAATCTTACATTCCGGACGTTTTTTTTAAATTTGAATTTTACCTTTGTATACTTCTCTGAACAGAATTTATCCAGCAATTGCCTAACGTACGTCTCCATGAATACATTATCACATGCATTGGCCTACAATAAAATTTTACACCATCTAGACCTGTCAGGTAAATGTGAACCATATTTTTCATAGTTCTTGTCAATATTTGTAATATGCATTACTTAAATACCTTAATAGTTTTCTAAATTTTGTTTTGGTTTCAACATGAAGTAAACCAATACTATTGCACTTTGATTCTTCTTTCATAATAATATACTTCTTTCCAACTTATTGCTTTATCAATGTTTTTTAAACATCGTTACAAATATATAAGCTTGATTGCACTTTATTGAGTTGTAGGTGTCAAGTAATTCGTAAAATGGCCTTCAATTTGAAAGATGACAAATTCCAAATACATGTACATCAATGAAATCAAAATGACATTGGCTCTAAAGATATTAGTTTCTGTATATGAAAGTTTTTTTTTCTAATTTTGATCGATGCATGAAATGTGTTGAGTTCCCAATGCACTTATTAGATTTTTTTATATAATTATGAATTGTAGGGAACAAATTAGATTATAAAGCCTTGTACCTCCTGGCCCCTGGATTAGCGGTAACATAATTTTTCATGTTGTTTGAAGCGAATGATATAATTCAAGCATTGTTAAGTTGAATTCTTTGAACTATAAGAATTTTTATAAAATAAAATGTTCAAAAGTGCAAATCTCATACTCAAATTGTTAACGCATTACTTTCTTGAAGTAAAATTACAAATATTTCCTACCCCTGCATTTGCTTTTTCTTCAGAAAAACTCAACCTTGATGACAATAAATCTTAGCAACAATTGCTTCTGTGAAGAAAGTGGCCTAACTCTGGGTGCTGCTCTAGGTAACTATACTTTTTATTGTAATCAATCTGTATTCAATCTGTAGTTGGACATTTCTACTTCTCGATTTTCATTAATTTTAAGACAAATTACTTGATATTATGCTTCATTCTGGACCATTGGTTCTACACAAAGTCATTTTCCTTTTAGCCGAGAACATGCGTATACAAGAACTAGATCTAAGCTGGAATCAACTTAGAGGTAAAGGAACAGTTGGGTTACTGAAGGCCCTTGAGGTAGGAAGATACAATTTGTACAATAATTTTAAAAAGCAAATAGGACATACAAACAATGTTAAAATCGATCGATTCTTACATGTTAAAAACTTATTCACATAACTTATCTGAGAATATTTTGCTACCAAGTTATCTTTCTTTAAATAATGATGTCTTCTCTTCATGGATCTTCTTCGTGAAATATTTCGGCCAAAGATCAATGCTTAATAAATCTTTATTCAAATTTTCGTGTGTACATGTATATAATAGAACAGGTATGTTGCTCAGAATATAGAGAAAAAAAATCCTGATTGATTTTATAACTTTCTGTATAAATGGGCACTTGTGCAGATATATGTGAGAGTTGTGTGATTAGAATTGACATATAGATAACTATTTAATATTAGAAATAATACATCAAAACTGCATTACTGTTGTCATAAAAATTAATTTTGATAAGTTTTTAGTTCACAATAATTCTTTAGATAAATACATCTCTGACCTCTATAAATCTGGCCTGGAATGGTCTTCAATATGACGGATCCGTGGCTGTATCCAAATGTCTGAAATCGAACGCGACACTGACGTCACTTGACATCACTCACAACAACATTAACTGGAACGGAGCATGGGTCATCTCAAAAGGACTTGCAACGAACAAAACTCTCCAAGTCCTCAAGGTTGTCTTCTCATATTTTTCGTCTTGTTAAATGAAAAATTAAGTGCCATTTAAATTTAGCGGCTCTTTTATTTTTTCATCTCGTAGATTGGGAACAATCCGTTAACGACCACCGGCGCGATGGACCTGTTGCTTGCAGTGTCCAGTGAGTCCAGCAAAGTCCGTGTTCTTGATATGATTGTAGGTATCAAGTAAGGATTGCTCTGTTTCACTAATTTCTATTGAAGATGTTGGTGTTTTCTAGATATATAGTGAGACACGAAATAATGTTTCATCTTGACCTTCTTTATGTATATATCTGTTTTGACGCAGTGTCTTTTTATCTTTTATGAAATGCAGCTCCATTTTCCAGTTTCATACGTTATACATATAAAAGTTTCCATGAGTAGTTTTGAAAGAACACGAAGGTTACCATGTATGACTCATTTACGCTAATCAAAACCTTTTTTTTTTCGTTTTCATTGAAATATGGAGGTAACAAACAGTATTCAAACTCAAAAGTTTATTCAGTCATACAAATCAGGATCATACAAAGCAAACACTGACCTCTTGAAACAAAGTTGGGATCAGGTGTCATGAAGGAGTGGTCATTCCATGTGACCAGTCACACTTGCCGCGTGCTCCTTGTCAAGATTTGGAAATAACGGGGAAAAGGGTCAACAGTAGCCCTATTAAAAAACATCCATCAGCATTCGATTTAGTGATAGATTGTTTTACCTCCAACGGCCATTGTATCGACGGCGAAACTTGAAAAGGACGACTTTAAATGAGACTATATTACACCTGTAATTGTAAAATCAGAGAATTCTTTGTTCACAAATACGATTACTATTATCCTCTTGAGATATTTCTTTGGAATGAAAAGTTCAATTTTTTTTTACTAAAAGAGCAATTTGACGACTTTGTAATTTCTTGTCGTATTATGGAAGCAGGTAAACTTAAATTTTTATATGAATCATATTATTTGTCAAGTCATTTCTCACTTTATTTAATGTCTTTGTTGACACAAGGATGTTGCTGTTCTTGGAGAAACTGAATTGCTGGCGATTATGTTAATGGATAAACGGAAGCTTCAGTTTATACACGGAGGGGTAGTCAGGACTAGCGATGTGCTCGGAGAAAGAAAGGGTCAGTGTAAATTCCAGATTATTTTAAACAAAAGTCACTATTGCAGTTTAATATATTCAAAATGTTGTCGAAGTTAGTAATCATTTTCCCATAGAATATACATTTGTACCAAGAATACAGCTTGGTTCATTTTTGTTCTGTTGACTTTAGAACGAGAAGTAACCGCCATGGAGAAAGTAATTTCCTACATGAAGACTGTTGGGTTACGTCCCCTTGAATTGCTACGGGCATTTGATAAATCTGCACATATTAATGTTTCACAAAAGGAGTTTAAGAATAGATTGAAGGTAATAATTAATTAATAAGCAATACCGGTATACATTTTCTTTCAAAGGTTGATTATAGATATCCACTTACTCAGATCGAAAAATAATTTCAAAGTATCTGAGACATAGTCTTTTCAAATCTTGTTATTATACTAGAGATAGACTTTAGTGGCAAAAACTAAATACTAAGTTTATGATCTCAACTCCTCTAACATGAATTCTCCTTATTTATTTAAGTCTAGCAATTTACCATTATTACCTGCATATGGTGTTTATGTCTAGCTTATGACTTATAAGAGAATGTTCCGCATACGATCAATATTTAAAACAAGGTAGGCTACTGACGAATAAATTGATGTCACAAAGTGATCAACAAATACCTCGTTAAAATTTAAATATTTAACAATGATTGTGTTTGAAATTATTAGCAGAATTCGTGTATCAGCGTGGTTGGTTAAATAATTCAACCTCAGTATGTTTTATTTCAATGATTTTACAAAAACAAGTACCAGTATACATTTGATGCTGCCTCTCTAAGTATCTTATTCTCTTGTAATTAACAATGAAGAGAGAGAACCAAACTGCTTAAGAAGTCGTTCATTGTTTATTGTTGTTGACGAAAACCTTGGCAAGGAAATCGTCAGTTTGGAGGGTAATTCACGGAATTCTTCATTTCTTGAATTGTGTGTAAAGACTGGAGCTATGTCAGTGATTCTAATATTTTCTTCAAAGTACATATGTAATTGTTTACGGCAGACATAGAACCTTTAAGTTTATAATCGTATTCTCGGATAGCAGCAGAATAATTTTCTTTCATTTTGAGAAGATTTGATTGTTGCTTTCTGACT